ACAATCAGTGTGCTCAAAGCTGCCTGGAGCAGGAACTTCAGACAAACAAGTGTGGGTGCTGAATTGTATGAGGTGATTGGGTACTTACTAAATTATTTAAATTCATTGGCATCATCAGACATGCCCCACAACTACCACTAAAGCCCCCCTTTCCCTTCTCAAAAGGACATTTAGAACACACACACACACACACACACACACACACACAAAAAAAAATCCCCTGGGAGAAAGAGGACAAAAACCTCCCTTTTGAAACTCCCAGCTTTGTAAATTCAGTGGGTCTCAGAGTGAGTGAAGTAATCAGCGAAGCACATAAGGGCAGCCAGTCTACAGAGCCTTGAAAACCAGAGCTGTGCGTCAGTGACCCTAACATTTGTCACAGGAAATTTTGGAAGAAAGCATGCTTTAGGTCAAGGAAAGATAATCTACAACCTCAGCTGCTACTGTTAGTAGAAATCCTACTCTCACTAGAAATTCAGAATTAGAATCTGATGATCTGATGAGGAAATATATTCTGATATCATGTACCAAAGCATAAATAATGGTGCTAAGTGCTGTACTGCTTATTTTTTTTATTGTTATTATTAAGGTATTACAAATGTGTCCTCATTCCCCCATTAACCCCCAACCTCCCCACACACACACACTCATGCTCCCATCCCCCTGTTGTCCATGTCCATTGGTTTGGCTTATATACATGTATACAAGTCCTTCGGTTGATCTCTTCCCCTAACCCCCGCCCTCCCCTACTTCCCTTCTAGGGATTGATAGCCTGATCGCTGTTTCTCAGTCTTTGGGTCTGTCCCTTTTCATCAGAGTATTCTTTTTTATGAAATACCTATTTGATTCTCTTGTCTATTGCGGTTGTCTGCCTAATTTTTAGTGATAAGTATGATTTCTTTATATATTACGGATACAAGATTCTTGAGGAATAATGTGTTACAAATCTTCGCCCACTATGTGGCTTGCCTTTTTACTCTTATAATAGTTTCTTTTGATTTAAAAAATGTTATAATTTTGCTGTTCTATATTTTAAGCCTTCATTTTTTCATCTATAAAGTAGAGATTATGATAGTATTTCACTCATAGAATTGTCATGAGAATTAAATAGAAGAATGCATGTACTCCTGGCACTAAATGACACTCAGTGAATATTATTTTTACTCCTAGTGCCACTTGTTTCTCTCCCCATCAAACCTTCCATATCCTTCTGTTTCCTCTGTTTTGAATCTCAGAGAGAGCATGCTGTAACAGAAAAGGCTGGTCATTTGACCTTGATTCATTCTTAACTTCTCTGGGCCTATAGTTATTTGTAAAATGGGGTTCCCATCACCTTTGGGGTTCAATTTTCTCCCTTTCCTATTGAACATTACTACGTACCAGCCACTAAAGAGGAAAAAAAGAATATTAGACATGATTCGACTCCGTGAGGCAGTGGGGACAGCGAGAGGATGAACAACAAGTTCGACACATTGAAAGATGATGACAGTGGTGACCATGATCAGAATGAAGAAAACAGCACACCGAAAGATGGTGAGAAGGAAAAAATGGAATGGGACAAAAGTCAGAGCAGCAGCAAAAGGAAGGCTGTTGTCCCGGGACCAGCAGAGCATCCCTTGCAGTACAACTACCCTTTCTGGTAGTCCAGGAGAACCCCCGGCTGACCCACCAGCTCACAGAGCTATGAACAGAATATCAAACAGATTGGCTCCTTTGCTTCGAGAGGAGAGATCTCCTTTGCTCCACGGTGGAGCAATTCTGGAGGTTTTACAGCCACATGGTACGTCCTGGGGACCTGACAGGCCACAGTGACTTCCATCTCTTCAAAGAAGGAATTAAACCCATGTGGGAGGATGATGCAAATAAAAATGGTGGCAAGTGGATTATTCGGCTGCGAAGGGCTTGGCATCGCGTTGCTGGGAGAATCTCATCCTGGCCATGTTGGGGGAACAGTTCATGGTTGGGGAGGAGATCTGTGGGGCTGTAGTCCCTGTCCGGTTTCAGGAGGACATTATTTCAATATGGAATAAGACTGCCAGCGACCAAGCAACCACAGCCCGAATCCGGGATACGCTTTGGCGAGTGCTTAATCTACCTCCCAATGCCATTATGGAATACAAAACCCACACCGACAGCATCAAAATGCCAGGCAGACTGGGCCCCCAAAGGCTCCTTTTTCAAAAACTCTGGAAGCTGAGGGTGAATGTGCCATGACCTTCTCCCTCTCTGGATGGCACCATCATTGAAGCTGGCATCATCGGAGTCTCTTGTTCTGTTGGCGTGCTACCTGGAAGATTCTTCTGTGCTGGACAAGAGGAATTGGAAGAGCATTTTATGTTTTAAGAACAGGCTGACATACAGCAGCTACTACAACAGCTGAGATCACTTAATAAATGGTGCTAAACTAAAAAAAAAGAAAAAAAAAGAACAAAAAAAGAATTG